GAAGAGCGCGCGCGGGCGAACCCAGCCTCCTCCCACCACAAGCGGCGCGCGTGCCGCAGGGTCAGCAAGAGACGCCCCCAATACGGGACCCCGGGGTAACCCTGACAATGAAAGTGGGGAGAAAGCCCCCGGGGATGTAGGGAACGTGCTGCCTCTGTGGCAATCAGAACCCCCATGTAGTGAGACCATAAGAGCCACTGCTGCACACCACTGCTACCAACCAAACCTGACCCTCAAAACAAAACTAATGAGAAGCTATAAGTTCTGTTTGCAGGGCACGCTTGTGAACCATCCCAGTGACACACACACCCCTGCTCCAGAAAGAGATGACAGACCACCAAACTGCCAGACAACACCTGAGAATCCCACGGTGGTGAGATCTAATAAATACCCCATCCTTCGTGTTCCACATAGCCAGCCTGTTTAGAAGCTATTTTACTAACCCTAAATGAAACCAAATCAAACCTGACTAACCCCTATTAGTTTTACTATGATATTAAACCCCCTTTTCTACGAAAGCAATGCTTTAGATACCCCCTTCAGTTACTCCACAGCCAATATCCCCCACCAGTGCAAGTGAGACACTCCCCACAAAAGACCAATAAGTAAATAGTCCCATCCACATTTGAGATATAAGTTTGCCAAAAACCCAGAGTGAATCCTTATATGTTCCTTGCCAAGTTTAATAACTCTATCAATTTCTGTGTCCAAGTTCCGATTATTTCTAAGGTCCTACATCACTCAGACGAAGAAATATACCATCTTCTCGAAGAACCTAACAGACTCCACAAAAGGGAAATCATCACAGGTATAACTATCGCAATGCTGCTCGGCCTGGGAGCAGCTGGCACCGCCACGGGCGTCTCAGCCATCGCAACCCAGCAACACGGACTCTCCCAGCTGCAAATGACCATCGATGAGGACCTGCAGAGGATCGAGAAATCCATCTCCTATCTGGAGAAATCAGTCTCTTCACTTTCAGAAGTAGTTTTACAAAATAGGCGGGGACTGGACCTTTTGTTTATGCAGCAGGGGGGATTGTGTGCGGCGTTGAAGGAAGAATGCTGCTTTTATGCAGATCATACAGGAGTCGTTAAAGACTCCATGGCAGAACTCCGAGACAGACTGGCTCAGAGAAAGAGAGACAGGGAGACCCAGCAGAGCTGGTTTGAATCCTGGTTCAATCAATCACCTTGGCTCACCACTTTAATTTCCGCCCTGGTAGGTCCACTGGCAATACTGTTTTTGGCTATTACCATAGGACCATGCCTGCTGAACAAACTAGTCTCGTTTGTTCAAGCCCGTCTGGAAAGGGCAAACATTCTGTTCGTAGGCCACCAACAAATGCTATAAACCAAAAAACTGCAAACACAGTCAGTAGCTAAAGCCTTCAGCACCTGCCTTAAAAAATCTACCCTAATCTACTAAACCACCCTTTCCTTAACAAGTTACAAGTCTGTACCTCACTCCAATGCCTCTATCTACAACTACCTCATTTTGTATGTGATAAGGAGGGGGGAGATGTGGTAGATAGGGACAGGCGGAGCGGAAGATCGCGGAATGTCACGGAAAGACAGACCCCTTCCCCCCTCTCTCTTCCCTGCTTATCTGCTAACCCCAGGAGTCAGAGAAGAATGTAGCCACACCTGTTCTGGTAAAATTCCACTACCCACTATCCTCCGAGACCCCCAACCCCCCTCTGACGTAGCAAAGACTCCTAAACCTATTTAAACCCACGAAATAAGATAATAAACGCTTTTCAACCGTCTGCCATATTGGTGTCTGCGTGTGTTGATTAGCCCGAGTGGCTTGGACGAGACCAGGCCGCCGTGCTGCCTTACCTGAACCAGGTCCCTGGTTGTCTTTCATAAAGGCAACAGAGATGCCATTACACCTCTGTGCCCCTCAGAGCTGCAGGCAGGCTGGAAAACGTGGCTCTCATCAGCTACTTCAGTGCCAAGTCCACCCAGCAGCACAGTGAAGAGTGATCTCCGAGGTGCTGCCGACCCGCCCTACTGCCCTGAAAACCTCTCTCCCTCCTTTGCAGCCCTTCCACCCTAAAGGTCCCCACCCGCCTGGGCTGGGCGCTGGGAAGCCCTGCACTCACCTTGGTGCTGAGAGCGCAGCTGGGGCGCTCTGGGCCATGTGCACCACGGCAAGGCTGGGTGAGCCCTCCGGAGCCGCCGGCGGTGCCTCGCCATGAAGAGGAAGAAGGGCAGAAGCACGCGCCAGGAGGACCTGAAGCGGACGCTCTTCCCAAAGCGCTTCCCCCTCCTGTCCCGGAGCCTGGAGCGTGCCCTCATGGACCTGCGGAGCGCGCAGTGAGGCCTTTGGATGGGATATGGAAGAGCATCGTGGTGCTGGGCCCCCAGGTTGACGTGGGAGAGCTCCCTTGGATGGAATGTTGGGGTGGGTGGCGGTGACGGCACTGGGCCATGGGGACACGAGTGTCCCAAACTGAGCAGGACGGGCCAGGCATCCCCATTTCCCCATTGTTCCTGAATTCCAGAGCCTGGGAGATTTGACTTTTGGCTTTTGCAAGCTGGAGTGAGGAGCCCTTCCCCTCAGGAATTCATCCCTCCTGCCATCCCTCCTGCACTGCTGAGGATCACCCTGGTTGTTTTTCAAGCAATATCCTTAATAATTATTATTTTTTTAAATATCCCCAGTCTCCTTTTTCATGCTGTGAAGTCAGGGATCAGGGAGATCTCAGTCCTGGGAATTGGGGTTGCTCAGCTGTTCCCCATCTTTAGGGCCTTGTGCTGCCAGCTTCTCCTGGGAATGCTGCCATGCAGCAGGAGAATCTCCCTGGAGGTGCCTTGCCCTTGCCCTGCTCACTCCGTCCTCAAACCCAATTGATCCCCTTTGCAAGCCCTGTGGATTTGATGCTCCCAACTCCCTCCTTTTCCTCTTTTTTTGTCCTGATGGCAAGTGAAAGGGACAGGAGGGGAATGGTGACTCTCAAAAGCTGCCAGACCTTCAGCTGCATGTCATAAACCCATTCCTTTCTCTATAATTCACACCATGCTGCTTTTCATTCCTCATCCTTTTTAGTGTGAGTAGTTACTCCATTTTCCCACTTTAATACAATTGTACCACACTTCTCCTTTCCCATATCCCAGGAAGCTGCTCACCCATTACATGGCTTTAAATGGAGTAATTGCAAGATTAGGTTCCTTTGGCCAGGCCATTAAAAAATGCCATTACAGAGGAACTGCAGGAGAGTGCCTGGAAAATCAAGCTTTGAGGGTGAAAGCTCTGCAGGCATATTTTTATTGCTATTGACCACCCCAGGGCCTCTGGGAGAAGGGAGCCAAGAGCATTTCTGGGGTTTTTGTCCTCTGAGGAAGGAGAGAAGGCAGGAGTGGCTCCATGTGGGGTGGGTGGGATCAGCTGGGATCTAGGTTGTTGTCTTCACTGAGAATTAAAAATAAACATTGTCAGCCCTGGGAGGCAGAGCTGGAGTGCTTGTCCAGCTCCTTGGGACAGCAGGGCCAGGGAGCTCCTGGGGAGCTGTGGAGCTGAGGAAGGGCCTGGAGCAGGAAAGGCTGAGGGAGCTGGGGCTGAGGAGATGCTGAGAGGGGCCCTCAGGCCTGGGTGACCCTGTTGTGACCCTGAGTGTCCCCGGGTGTCCCTGAGTGTCCCTGTCCATCCCTGTCCGTCCCTGTGTGCAGGAGGGCAGAGCAGCCCCAGGCCCTGCTACAGGCCCAGCAATGGCCCCAGAGCCCCGGGCAGGGCTGAGCCCGGCAATTCCCTGCCCAGGAGGCAGAACTTCCCTGTGGGCACTGGAGCAGAGCCCAGAGAGGCTGTGGGTCCTCCCTGGCTGGGGATATTCCAGAGCCCTGTGCACACCCCGCTGTGCCCTGTGCTCGGGATGGCCCTGGGGTGGCACCAGCTGAGCCTCTGTGCTCCCTTAGCCCTGCCCCACTCCGGGATTCTGGGATTCATCCCCCCACATGAGTTTTTTGGGTGACCCCCGGGTGAAGGTGTTCCCGAGCTCTCTCTGGGTTTCATTCAGCAGGAAATCATTTTGCCACATTCTCCAGTGGTGTCACCGAGGCCGTCACTTGCCGGGTCACAGATGGCTCGTGACTGTCCTTGCTCCCTCTCTGGGCTGGGGATGGAAAGTTCCTGGGTGAGCTGAAGGGAAGGATCCCTCTCTGTGCCATCAGCAGGTGCTGGCCGTGACCTCCCAGCACTTGGGCCTTGTCACCGTCACCCCTCTGCTTTATCCTGAGCCTCTCCTCAGGTGGAGCCCGGCTGTGGTGGCACCCCCAGAGCGGGGAGGGACATAAAGGACAGCAGAGCCACCTGTGAGCCAGGGCAGGGCTGATAAGGAGCTGGTTTGGGAGGAGTGACTTGGAATGCTGCATGTAAATGTGGGAGTGCAGAGTCCCAGATAAGATGTGGGCGGGTGAGATAACAAAGGGTCAGGAGGGCTGATCCCGGGAATATTTCCTGAGAGCAGCTGTGTTCAAAGCTGGCTGCAATTCACTGCCTGCTTTTCCTTGACAGGGAGGTGACCTCCCTCTGCTGCCCGCTGAGGTTTGGGGTTGATATTTGGGTAGTATTTGTCAACAGACCAGACCAAACACCACCTTGATTTGTGTTCTAAGGCACCTGCTGTTTGTAACGGGGATTTTCATGAGAGAGGTAGCAAGGGGAGGGCATGTAATTTAATCTCCAGGCTGTAAAAATCCATTTCTGCTTGTACTTGTTGATAATGTAACTGTGACACAGCTATTACAAAATGACCCGAATGCACTTTCACAGAGTTGTCATAATGAAGGTTGGTCTGTACCCACAGGTGCAGGATGCTGCTCACAGTTTGATGGAAAACTGGAACAACTGGGGTGTTTTTTCTCTTTTTTTTTTTTTTTTTTTTTTTTTGTGTTTATGGTCCTTCAAATATTAACAACATTTTTTTTTATAGCTGCCATCTCTGCAGTACTTTCACCTGCAGTTGTCCAGGGCTCCATAAAATAACCTTTTTTTTTTGAACTAAAGAAAAACTGACTGGAGGAGGAAGACCAGGTTTGGGTGAGGGTGGATTTTTTCCAAGGAATTCCAAGGGCAGAGCGGGACCTCCTGTAAAATGAACGTTTTGTGTGGTCATCAGTTGCTTCAGGAGTATGTCGCTGTCGAGGCAGGACGGGAATGAGAAGACTGACTCAGAAGACTGCTGAGAGTAAAACTCTGGTTTATTCAAAATACACCGCTCTTTTATTTACATTCTTTCCCAACTCTTTCCCAGGCTTCTGCCTGGCTAGAAACTCTCCATTTCTCTATTTGACTGAATCTGAGACCCACAGGAGTATAGATTAAATCCTTGGAGATGTAGATGTTAGAAAAAGAACAGAAATTACCCCTTGGAACGAAACCAAACCTGTCTATGCTGGCTGGTTTTGTCTGTCTTGGTACCTGGGGTACGAGTGCCACGAGGACCTCATTCCTGGGAGGGCTGGAAATGGACAGTGAGGGGTTTGGGATGTGGGAAAATCACTGCCTGGAGAGGCTGGGGTGTGTTCTGGGAAATGCAGGCACTGGGAGAGCAAATCCTTCAGCTGACTGTCAGAGCAAGACACACTTTTTGTGTCTCTTGGAGATCTCTTGGGTCACTTCTTCTGTCTCTCGTGTAGAAATTCTGGCCCACCTGCCATAATTAAAAGTCGGGATACAAAATTAGGTGGAAGTGCAGGACGGTGTGATAGGCAGGATGAGTGTGGCTCCAGAGAAGGGAACAGGAGTGGGAGTGAGCAGGATCTCATGCCCAAAGGTGGCTGGGGTGGGTCAGAGGATGGAGGATGCGCTCCTGGAGGCAGTTTGGGTGCATGAGAAGAGGCTGAGAGTGCCCAACAGGAGAAGCATCACCATATGGGACTATAAAGTGAAGGGAAAACCCCCTCATGATTCGTGCAAGTGAGTAAACAATTGCTGTCCCTACCTGCCTGCAGGCAAGAGGTTTTGGTGTGAGTCTGCTGTTCCAGGCTTGGCCAAGGACACAGCCTGGGAAGCTCCTGCAGTGTGATTCAGCCCAGTTTGTTTTGAAAAGCCCCACAAAAACACAAGCACATGTACAGGAGGCATGGAAACTGCAGCTTGTGTTGGGAGCACAGTTGCTGGGTTTGTACACTTCAGCCAGGAAGAAAGGAATTCTTGTTGAAACTTGTTCTGTCTGTTGCTCTCTATGTAAACTTCACATATTTTGTGGGATGCTGCATCCACAGAGTAATCAGAAGGCATGGGGGAAAAAAGAGGCAACATTTGCAGATAGTCCAGTTTCCATTTCTGCTTTGCTGCTGCACATGATTAGCACATTGAACATAACTGCTAGCGCTCACTTACAAAGACTGTGAATAAATCATTCCTTTGATCTTCTTCAAAATCCAAGAGAAAGAAGAGATAGGGTAGGATAAGGATTGCATTAAGTATGATAGTGTTTAGAATTTCTTCAGTCTTGAACGTTCTTTATTCAGGGACCGACATATTAAAAATTTAAATTATTCCCATTAAAACATTGTTCCCTGGTACAGCTGTCAAGAGGAAATAGAACATAACTAGGACATTTGTGTCTGGCCAAAAGTCACCAAAATCTCCAAGCATTCCCAAGGAGAACTCTCAAGGAAAGTGTCAGAATCCCAAATGACCTTGACATCACCTCCGAATCAATAGCTTGACATCTGATAGAGACAAGTGGAGAATGCTCAGCGATAAAGGGAGCTTGTGTGGTGCAGCAGCAGAACTCAGGCAAAGAATTAAGGGATAAGGAAAATGTCAGACTATAAAAATCAACGAGATACTGTTGCCAAAAATTAGAATTCTCACTTTGGGCTGTAGGAAAGGAGAAAAGCGGTAGAAGAGGGTAGGCAAGACTCAGAGGCTGATCCCCATCCTCTGCCTGTGACACCACTCCTGTTGTTCTGAAGCTTTTCAACAAGATGTCTAGGGACAAACTGTAAAGAGTCTAGAAGGGAGAAGGAGGAAAGGAATAAAAGATGATCAGATCTGAAAGTGAGTTTTATCTGGGGAAAGAAGGAAGGAAAGAAGGAAAGAAAGGGAAGGGAAGGAAAGAGAAAGAGGAAAGGAAAGGGAAAGGGAAAGGGAAAGGGAAAGGGAAAGGGAAAGGGAAAGGGAAAGGGAAAGGGAAAGAGAAAGAGAAAGAGAAAGAAAGAGAAAGAGAAAGAGAAAGAGAAAGAGAAAGAGAAAGAGAAAGAGAAAGAGAAAGGGAAGGAAGGAAGGAAGGAAGGAAGGAAGGAAGGAAGGAAGGAAGGAAGGAAGGAAGGAAGGAAGGAAGGAAGGAAGGAAGGAAGGAAGGAAGGAAGGAAGGAAGGAAGGAAGGAAAGAAGAAGGAAGGAAGGAAGGAAGGAAGGGAAGGAAGGAAGGAAAGGAAGGAAGGAAGGAAGGAAGGAAGGAAAGGAAGGAAGGAAGGGAGGAAGGAGGAAGGAAGGAAGGAGGGAGGGAGGGAGGGAGGGAGGAGGGAGGGAGGGAAGGAGGGGGGAGGGAGGGAGGAGGGAGGGAGGGAGGGAGGGAGGCTTCAGTACCTGCCGGGCTTTCTGAGCCACTCACCAGCATTCCCAGTATGTTTGCAGGTACTCCAGGGAAGCTCCTTCTCATCTGCAAAGCAGAATTGCAGCCTAAGCCACTTTTCCCATCCTGTAATTCCCCTCTTTAGCCACAGACTGGGGAGAAGTGGCAAACTGCAAACGGCTTGATTACCCAAACTTGGGTGATCCCTGTCCAAGGAGGTAGGAAGGAAAACTGAAAATATTCCTGCAGTTGGGCATGTTGGAGCCAAACAGCACTGTAAGAATGTGTGTGATTAGATCAGGACCAGTTGCTGTGTGTGAGCTCTCTCCCTGTTAGCACATCTACCAGCTCATCAATGTCCATGGAAGCAAAAGGCTGCATCTGCCTTTAACTGGGACAGATAAACTGCAGGCAAGCCAAATTCCTAGGCATGCCTGCACATGTCTGTGCAGAGCTATAGTCTCTCTTGGTGATCTCATTTAAACATAGTCAAAATTATTAAAAGATGCTGCTATATGGATATGACAATTCGTGCAAATAAAATTGTCATATATTTTATCATTATGTACTGTTAAGATACTCTTCTAAGAAGTTTTTAAAAACACACAAGCCAGCGACAGGGATTGCAACACAATGTTGAAACCACCTGGACAAAGGAGGGAGGACTCCATTCACAAGCATTCACTGAGACGCTGCTGCTGGGCCGGGTGCTGAGCACAGGGCTGGGCACACAGAGATGCTTTTGTTCTTGCTGAGCTCCCACTGAGCCAAAGCCTGGCCTGCCCCTCCTCTGGCCACGCTGGAGAGGGGCTGGGGCTGCGGGGGAGCTTGGGAGGGGACACAGCCAGGACAGGTGACCCCCACTGACCCCGGGGATACCCCAGACCATAGGGCAGGCATCACGCTCAGGGTATAAAGTGGGGGGAACAAGGAGGAAGGGGGGACATTTGGAGTGATGGCTTTTCTCTTCCTAGGTAACACTCTAGGCTGGAGGGGGCCCTGTCTCACCAGTGGGCAGGGTCAGCACCAAAGACACAGACACCAACTGAAGGAATTGTGTCATTTATATCATGCACAGCTGCAAAGAATTACAAAAGGATAAGCTCAGCAAAGCACATCATCATTAGCAAAGCATTACAAAAGAAGCTCAGCAATGCATCCAGTCATTGCTACCAGAGATTGCCTGGAGTGATTAAGGAAAGATCCATCACCAGTTAGCCTCAGGCTTTACCATCATCCACAGCCACACATCAGCTGGGGGAAGCCAAGGACTGGAGAGCCACTCCCAGACACTGGGAATTCCTGCAGGTGCCTCCACCTCTGCAAGCAATGAGGCTCCAAGCCCAAAGCTGTGAGAGGACCCAGCTTTTACACTGTTAAACAAACAAGCTGGCATCACTGCCACTGCGAGAACATCTGCTTTCATTCTCCTGACTGCTTTCTCCCAAAGCCTGGCCAGGGCTGAAGGAGGAACCAAGGGAGTTGACTTTGATCCTTCACCCCCAAACAAGGCCAGATGGGGCCTTGTCTGTTTCTAAATACAGAAAGATAAATCCGTGTTTTATCAAGGAACACATGCATTGATCCTGTTGTTAATCATGCTTCCTTAATGAGTGGATACAAATACAACATTTGCTTGGAAGGTTCATCTAGAGGTGAGCTTTGCCTCAGGGCCTGTTCAGGCCTTGATCACAACCTGTTCAGGCCTTGGTACTTTGATCGGTCCTGAGACCTACAATCAACTACAACCTTTGTAACAATTCTTTCAGTAACACAGCTTAGATTTAGGTATTAGGCATAAAGGCATCTCCTCTTGTTCTACAATTAAGTGCAGTTTAACTTCATTACTCAGAGCTATTCACGTTCCTTTTAAAACATGCCTAAATAGTTGCTATTCTCTGTTATTTATCAAATGCCTCTCTTTTCTTGAGACTGTCTCTTTTAAGAAAGGTCCCAATATTCCACTTCCCAGCACAAAGTGTCACAGCAACTCACCAAGTGCACACACTGCAATGATGACAGGCCCTGCCACCAATGCATTTCACAGCAGCCTCTAATTTGGCAGCCGTGAAGCCAATCCCACCGAGAAGAATTTTCTTCTGCCACTCTTCTACTGTTCTTTCTGTCAAGGTGATTCCTGGCTGTTGGCCTTCAAACCCATCACTGCTAGCAGTGCAACATCCCCGTCCCCTGATAGCCCAGGTTCCTCCTTGGCAAGCAAGCAGATAATCCAAGTCCATGCGGTTCTCTGGAGTCCCCATTTGTTGGAGTTCATAGGATGTGCTATTGGACATTTTAACAGTATCATTTACTACCTCTTCTAATAATCCAATGCCCTATTGGACATTTTAAGAGTATAATTTACTACCTCTTCTAATAATCCATTCAGCTCATTCATGTCAACTCCACGGGATGGGGCAGCGCACATGGGGCACAGGGTGAACCAGAATCCTTTGCTTTCGGAAACCCAAGGCACTCTTTGGGTGGAAAATGTTCTCTGGGCCCTAAGTCTTCCGTGTGGTCGTTGCTGAAGGACCCTAAATGGGGGCCCTGCAGCTGGGAGCGGTGTGACACTGACACTGACCAGCTGCAGCACCCCAAGTTCTACTGACATTGGGAGTGATGGTAAAGCACAGAAATCTTCTGACACTGTAGCCTCTATAACTGTAACAGGGTTTGGTTTCTCCTGAGGGGAAATCTGAGTGAATCCTGTCACACTGATCGTTGTATTCCCGTGTCCCACAGCACAGGTTTCTGTAACTGTCCCTTCATTGACTCCGTTACGAGGCAGAGCCCATTGACAGAGTTCTGGCCACCCCACAGGGTGGGCCCTCCAAGGGAACCCCATTCCTCCCAACTTCAGCTGAGAACATACCCAGCAATTAGTGACACTGTGTGCTTTGGCTACCTTGGTCTTTAAATTTTCAAAACATTTTGATGACTGATCCCTTGGTGAAACTCTGGAGGTGTTTTGGCAAACGTCAGTAGTACTTTAGTGACACCGTTCTTCATTCTTTTTGCTCAATGTCATTCAGGTTAGGAACAATAATTCTGTTGTCCATGGAGCTGGCAACTTTTTAATTCCAGAATAATGCCCCCAAGGTCCTTTAGTGTTCAGCTTTACCATGTTGTCTGTGGGTAACAAGGCTTGGTGGGGCCCTTTCCCTTTTGGCTGGAAGAGGGCCAGGACCTCTGCTTAAAGAAAAAAAAAAGGAAAAAGAAAAAAAATACAATTAGATTAATTGCAAAAGATACAAATAAAATCCAAGTGTTAGTGAAACAACTTCTGTAACTTTGCATTAAGAGGTAAATGATCTTTTTAAAAAGAGAACTCAGTTATTTACATTGTAAATGTGCTGATGGCATGGATCCATCTTACTGACCTCAGCAGCCTTTTTTACAGTTTTTGGGGTTTGTTTCCAACATTGTTATTTTAAATTGTCGTCAAAGCAATAGGAAATTGATTGGGGCCCTTCCAGCTCCAGGCAGGACTGGGAATCTCAACTCTGTCAAACCCCAAATCCTTTAGAAGATGACCTTCCTTCTCACTCTGGGAATGAGCTGCACATTCCCTCTGAAATTGTCAGGGGTTTCTTACGGATGAAAAATCCCACTTACGGCTTTTTGCTCTGCTTTGGAAGTGGGAAGGGCAATTCTCCATCCATCAGCTCCAGACTGCACTGCCTCAGGAACACGGCTCACTTGCCAGCTTTGGCCACTCGTGGCACTTCTAGAGGAGGAAGAAAGTGCAACTGCACAATTCCAGCCAAAAAGAAATGAAGAATGAATAGTGGAGATCCAGGCGTTCCTGCGGAGATCCAGGGGTTCAGCTGGGACTATGGAGCCGGGGCCGGGGCCGGGGCCGGGGCCGGGCTCGGGCCAGGCGGAGCCAAAGGGCGGCGATGCCCCAGCCCCGGGCACTGATGCCCGCCCAGCAGCGCCACTGCCAGCACGGCCAGAGCCGGGCGGAGGCGAGACCGCGGCGGGGCGGGCGGGGGCGGGGACGGGGCAGCCCCGCCCGGGGCCGGGGGCGGGCCGGGGGCATGGCCCGGCTGGGCAGGGGGAGAGGGAGAGTGGGAGAGGAGGGGACAGCGGGTAAGGGAGAGGGAAATTCGCTGCTTTCGCTGATTTCTCTGCCGCTGCTGCTGCTGCAGCTGAAGCTCCGTGTCCGTGTGTCCCCGTGTCCGTGTGTCCCCATGTCGCTGTGTCCCCGTGTCCGTGTGTCCGTCCTGCTCGCCCCCGCGCCCAGCCCCGCGCTCCCCGGGCAGCCCCTGAGCCTGTCCCAACACGGGAACTTTGCTGTTTTCAGCCCAGACCCAGAGTCTGGACTCCTGCACAGGGACACAGGAATCCCCTCGGTCACTGCTGTGCATTGTCCGTGCTGAGGGTCAAACACTATCGGAGCGCATTCCCTGAACCCTGAATTTGTACCTGACCCAAGAACTGCACTTAGTCTCCAGCACTGATTTAAAAAAAAAAAAAAAAAATCACAGGGTAAGGCAAACCATGTGTAGCTCATGGTATTTTAGAGTGTCTAGAGTCATGGATCTTAGAAGTGAGACCCATTTGGATTAATGGGATGGGGAAGTAGTGCAAGATGGAAAAGGGGAGCATAAAAAAGAACAGAAAAACATCTTAGATTGTTTTGTTCCATTTTAATTTAATTTCTTAAAAGCTCTTTCAGTTTTCCCAGAATCTTCTCCACAGTCCTGTTTGCTCTTTCCAAGAACCTTTGCTGGAGAACGAGGAAGCTTTGAGCAGTTTCTGTCACAAGATGTGCCACCAGCTGCAGCTTCTCTTGGTTTCCCACACCGTGTGTGCAGCTCGACTCTTGCAGCACAGCAGGACATATATTTGAAGAATTTTACAACTTGTTCTTTCTTTTCCTTGTGGGCTGGGCAGTTGTGCCATGGGTGAGATTTTCACTGTTATTGCTCTAGCCTAAGAAACCATGACGGGCTCCCAGGAATTGTCAGGGAATGCAGAGAAAGAATCTCCCGAGCCTGCAGCCAGAAATGGAGAGCAGTGTGATAATCGTTCCAACATCCCCATGGACATCTTGAAAGTGATGTAGAAGATGAAAATGGGCTGACAGAGGGAGTTTGTTTCTGTGTTCAGTTTAGAAGCTTCCACCTCTCGAGCACTGATATAAATCAAGAGTACAATCAGTGCATGGAAAGCACCAGAACAAGCTGGTCCTCTCAGTGGATGGCTGAAAGAATCTGAAAAGGAAAAAAGCAGGGAATGATTTTGTGAACTTTCCCTGTACAATGGAACATTTTTACTAATAATTTCCAACCCATTCCCTCCGCTTTTGTCCTTCCTAACAAGGCCATTTTCATCCCAGATTCCCCATGAAGTAAGAACCCTGAGCTTGTGGAAGTGCCTGAAAGATGCCCTGTTCCTCTGCAGGGACACTCAGGCTGGAGCAGGAGCCCTCTCTGGGGAAGCCTCCTCCGAGCTGGAATTTGTGCCCTGCTGGGAGAGGAGGAGGAGGGGAGAAGGCTGGGCACTGTGTGGCAGGAGCAGGGATTTGGGCCGCAGGACATTCCGTCTGTGCCGCTGCCCCACAATGGGCGGGAACGCTGTGGGGATAACTGGGGGGGACTGGAGCGGAATATGGATGGCACTGGGGGGAACTGGGAGGGCCTGGGAATTAACTCAGGTGTATTTGGAGGGACTGGGCTGTGCTGGGATGGATTGGATGGGCACTGGAGCTGTACTGGGCTGTACTGGGGATGAACTGGGCTGTACTGGGAAGGACTGGAGTGGCACTGGGGTTGTCCTGGCCTGTACTGGGGATGAACTGGGCTGTACTGGGAGGGATTTTAAGGGCACTGGGGTGTAGTGGGCTGTACTGGGGATGAACTGGGCTGTGCTGGGAGGGATTGGAGGGGCACTGGGGCTGTACTGGGCTGTACTGGGGATGAACTCGACTGTGCTGGGAGGGACTGGAGGGGCACTGGGGCTGTACTGGGCTGTACTGGGGATGAACTGGGCTGTGCTGGGAGGGATTTTAAGGGCACTGGGGCTGTACTGGGCTGTACTGGGGATGAACTGGGCTGTGCTGGGAGGGATTGGAGGGGCACTGGGGCTGTACTGGGCTGTACTGGGGATGAACTGGGCTGTGCTGGGAGGGATTGGAGGGGCACGGGGGATGTACTGGGCTGTACTGGGGATGAACTGGGCTGTGCTGGGAGGGACTGGAGGAGCACTGGGGCTGTACTGGGCTGTACTGGGGATGAACTGGGCTGTGCTGGGAGGGATTGGAGGGGCACGGGGGATGTACTGGGCTGTAATGGGAGAGACTGGAGGGGTTGAATGGGCTGTTCCCGCCTCTGCTGCCTCCCATTTGCCGAGGCTCCCGCCCATCACGGCCGCCAACCAATCAGCGTCAGGGATCGATCATGGCTTTGGGGGCGGTGCCTGGAGCCTGCGCCATCTTTTCTTTTGCCTACAACTCCCGTCATGCTCTGCGGCCCCTTAGAGCCCCATTAAAGCCGGGACTACAACACCCATCATGCCCCGCGCACCACAGACCCTCGGTATCCGCCCCCATCTGTCCCACAAGTGTCCCCCAGACCCTCCGGGATCCCCAAGTGCCCCTCAGCGCCCATTCAGGACCCCCAAAACTTCACTGGCAAAGTACAAAAGAACAAGAAACTTTGGAAAAGCATTTAATACAAAACCAATCCAGTTTAAATCACTTGTCATAGGAGTAACTTCATTCACTCAGCCCATTTAGTCTGGAAAGGTTTAAAGACTTAAGTTGTTCAGGTACCCAAAAATGTTCCATATAAAGAGCATTAGAAGGAGAGGAAGGAGAGACAGAGGAAGGCAGAAGCTCCACAGTGTGGGAATCCAGGGCTTCCCTCTGGCTGCCCTGGCAGGTCTGGGACCCTGGCAGGGGTCAGGAACCCCCTGTACAGAGCCCCCAGAGACACTGTCTGTGATCTCTGTCCATGGAAAAGAGTTTTCAATCCTACAGGATGAATTACAAGCTCTGAGTGTTTGATACGAGTAATAATTAAGTGTGGCACGAGTGCAAAAGTAAAATTCTAGGTTTCTAGATTAGGGGTTCAAAGGGGACAAGATGGAGGAAATTGGGTGTGCCTTGTCCTTTTTCTCCTTCTTCATGCCCTCCATGTTTCACTGCAGTGTTGGCATTTTTCTGTTGGTTTAGGCTGGGGACACACTGTTTAACGTAGGTGACAGATATTGGCACGTTATTGTAAATCCAGCACAGGTAGTTTCTGGTATTTAATGTTTGTAACATCCCACTGAGGGCAGAGCCCCACACGCTGCCCTGCAGGACAGAGCTGCGGCAGGGCAGCAGAACATGTTAGAGATAAACAGAATAAACAACCTTGAAACCAGCACAGATGAATTATGGCTTCTTCTTTGGCAATGGGGCAGAAAGACAGAGACTTTCTACAATCTCGGAATCACCAATACCCACAGATTCCGACAATTTTCCAATCTATGATGAATGCTAAACAAGATGAGGGCTATTCCTTGACATGTCACACTAGTGAGAAAGTTAAATTACTTCTTAGTGAGTTCCAAGTTCAATGTATCCACACAGAGGGTGAAATGCTCCTGTGCCACAGACATAAACATGGGTCCAGTTGTAAGGCTGAAGAACACAGATAAAATTGGCACAATCTGTCTGTTGGAAATAGAAAGATAAAGGTTAATTTTCATGTTTATTCTTTTTTTCACATTATACATTCTACTAAATTACAGCCACAGCACTGGTGTACTTAAAACTACTGTAGCAGGGACTGTTTACGAAGCAGTTCAAAGCTGTGACAACTACAATTTGATAGCAGCTATCTACCAGGCAGTTAATCAATCAGACATGCAAACCTAATTCTGCTGTAATGCTTACAGCCACAAGAAGCTGTGTGCTCACAGCACAGTTTGGAGGGTATCTGTTCAGCCTGTGTCCTGGCAAACAACACCTGCCAACAGCTGGGCAGAGGTCGCAGAGCCACTGGGTTTGTCTGGCTACCAATCCTCCTGCCTTTGCTTCCCAGCTCAGGGTGCTTTAACACCAAAGATTACATGATTAAAGTAACTGTGGTGCGCTGAAAGGCTTCAACGCACTTCAGTGGGTATGCTTTGTCTCTGCACCAGCCACACCTTACTGGTGACTCTTATTTGGTTATTTCTGAGTCCAATGAGCTGTCCTGGCTCTAGCTGGGCTTGGTCCTTGCTGGGCAGATGCTGTGTGCTCCAAGGATGATACATGGGCTGGAGGACAAGGCTTGCTCTAGCTTTCCCCAAAATGAAATTAATACAGAAAAACAAAACAAGTATTTCGAGGGAATACAAAGAATCTGTTCATACTTTCTAGATATCACCCTACACCTAAGTGAGAGTCCAAAACAAATATTTCCCTCCCAGGACCCTTTCAATCTTCTTTTAGTATAGAAACAGAACAAATCTTCCATATACACCCCTATAAGAAAATTTCCTGTGCTCAGCAAAGGTGTTGTTTAGGTTTTGACTGCTGTAAAGACAATGGTAGCAACAAGTTAGAATAAGAAGTTGAAATTCTTCAGGCAGAGAGCTGAGAGTGTTTTGAGCTGCAATCTACCTTGGTGACTGACATGCTGGATAGAAATTAGGACATTTTTTTCTGAGACAAAATGAAAAAAAAATTATTTTAGAGCCAGAAAATGTTTACATTCATAGTAGGTTCTAGACACATGATGTAATCTGTGGTAAGCAAAACATATAAAAGTTGTATTGTATACACGTATGTACCTTAAATATACTTCCTAAAGAAAATTTGTGGTTCCACAGAAAAGCCATTGAGTCTGAAATTTTCTTTTAACCCTAACTCAAGCAGTCTGCAAGTTAAGTTGATTTGTACACTGCTTTACTACTCTGTTTCTTTAATGAATTATAATGAAGTTACATTCAGGACAGTCCCAAGAAAAAAAGAAGCATTTTAATGTGAAAAGAGAGGATTTCATGGAAGTATTGCCTGGTAGACATTTCTGAGGTAAGTCCATTTGTCTCCCAGCTGCATTTATTACATCAAAGGAAATATTGATGCAATTTTGAATTTTTAAAAATATTAATATTTAAGGAACAATGGAAAAGTAATTTTTTTTAATTAAGAAAAAACACTTAGTTCAGAAGAAGTGTAACACGACCTTACTAATGCATTTTGTGCATTTACTAACAAACACACAGATATTAATAAATCTCAGCAATAATAAAAAATATACATCATACTTACCTGGGCATCTTTCCCAGCTAATTTGCATAATTCGACCTTTTCTTTTGCTGCAGGCCAGTAAATCTGTAACATAGTTAAAATAAAACAAAGATTATGAAGATTACAACCTGTCCTGTGACTGACAGATTAATTAGTCCATGAATAAACAGTTAAAACAGATTTATGCAGGTGAAAAACCTTGCCTGTAAATTGAAATGAAAATGACTTCAAATGCAAGATTCCATGACAAAAAGTTACAAGGTTTCAAATCAACCCCATCGATCTTTGTTTATTTCTTCATTGGCTACGTGTACTTTTAAAAAGCATTCAGTTAATCTGGCCAGGGCACCTTGTCACTATTATGTGTTTTCCTCAAAGTTATGATGAGCCAAATCATCTGGAAACTAAACTGATTGCAAAGCCAGGCAAATTACATTTGTGAAGAATTTAGGCCAGTGGACTTGGCATAACTGTTATAAAAAAATACTTAGCTCTTTCTGCCAATTTTCAAATGAAAAGAATTAGGTTCAAAAAACTAAGGGTAGCTCAAGGGAAATTAGTAGAACAAAAAGTACATTTGACAGAAATCAACAGTGCGTGGTTTAAAAATGTCACCCATCAACATTAACTGAGTTTACTGAGAAAATGAAACAGAAGTTTAGAGCAGAATTGCGGACCTTAGTTAATTGGCATTAAATATTGATATCGTTCCTCTTTCTTTTTTAATCTGCCCTGAAGAATTCTGAAAAATGGGTTTTGATGTAGATGAATCCAGATGGCAAAATACTACCAGTTACTGTAATCCAAATTATGTAAGTGAAGAAATATAAATGAACAACAGCTCAGGTTCTGCCTCACTGATTTCAATTAAGCAGTCAAGACTGGATATGATCGAGTACAGGTTTGATTCTAATAAATTTAAAATAGAAGCTAAATATAAATTCTTCTACAACAACATTGATAAAAATAAGTATTTTTTATTTCTAAATTTGACAAGACAAAACTGTTATTTCTTATAACTAATAGTAAAACCACTACAAACCACACTCCTTTTTAAGCAAATATTGATTAGTACATTGTCTCAAGTCCCAGGCACCAGTCAGCAGGTCATTAGTAGCCACAAATGCTTTAGAATAGTCTCCAATCACGCTTTACAAAATCTTTAATAGCAAATATATAAGAATGAAGAATTATTGCAATATGCATCAGAAATAAAAACATCACCAAGGAAAGATGCACAACCCAATGGCATACAGGAGTAGTTGACTGCTGTCATATTCCCTTTCACCCAGCTGTTGGCACCTTGTAGAAGTGGCTTGACGTACACAGGCTCAGTCCCCACGGGTAAGAAAGCAAAAAACCAGTGTCCTTTGTCAAGTACCTTTATTTCCCAAAACCTACAGTCACTGTTTCTCTCAATCTGGAAACACTTTGATTTTACTTCTTCCTCTTTGATTCCCAGTGAAAATGGATGTATTGGATTTTTGCAAGGAAATTCATTTCCTCTCACATGAATTTAGTTACCTTTCTGATAAAGACCTCTTAGCAGAGATAATGAAGTTTGAGTTACTTAAACCTTAACCCTCTACAATATTTACAAAGAGTCAGAGATAAAACAGTGTAGCAGCATTGCAGCAGTGGAGCATAACTTTGCTTTCCCAGGGCATTTTCTCAGAATGATGTGGTCATCATTCTGACCACATACCTATGAATGAGGTATAAAAAAAAAAGCAATCTGAAATCAGCTGTGCCAGGGTGTGTGGGCGGCACAGTGCACAGTGCCAGGAAGCACAGAGGAAAGTACTGGGAATATCAGGAAGGGCTGAAGGTAGGTCCAGTCTGGTCTCTGCCTGGGCAGAGTGGGATGAGCCACCACTGCAACACAGGTTAAGTTTAAGAAGAAAAGCTGATGAAAATGTACCAGTGAAGAAAAGCCGATCAGAAGGAAGAGACAGATGAATGTGAGATCACAGATCTCCAAACACACCTGGCCAAGGAGATTTGTCTGAGCTGTCAGTTCTCCTGTACATAAACTTTATGCCCAATTCTGCCCAAGATCCCTGAATCATTTACAGCAAAGCCTAGAGGCCAAGGGGCTTGGGAGATGTTTGGCAAAAGTTTAGTTATCCAATTAGGCAGACAGGATGTCTCTTTGTAGGGTTTTGAAAATGCCCAACTCTCCTTGTCAAATACACAGAAGAACTGGAGGAGTTAAAAACAGAGACATCTGCTTCGAGGCATCAGAAGTGTTAATGGACTTGACTTACTCTCCATTCTTCTACAGATTCCTTCATGGAAATTACTGTTTGTCCTACAAGGCGGAAATACACACACCCCCACTTCTATGGTAATTGACCACAGACAATTATATTAAAAAATCAATTGTTTTACTCTCTAGTTTCTCAACAGACTCAGTATTTAGCATTATAAGGCCACATTAGACAATGAAAAGTGAAGCTAAATGATCCAACTTGAAAATCAATTTGTAATTATATATGGGGTAGTAAAAGTGATATTTATTTGCATTACATATAAGAAATGAGAGGTTCCCAGAAACTGTCAGTTCTAAATTGTAATAGATCAAGAAAATTGCATAATAAATAATGAGTTGATCTGCTGAGCAAGAAAGCATAAACCTCATTTTTTATTATAGGACATGCTGTGTAACAGTACCACAGGTCTGGTTCTCTCAAACCCTGACACAAGTAACGTTACACATCTCTATTGACTTTTCTGTAGGGGGTGAAATTAAGTTTTATTGTTATATTTTATTCTGATGAGTTACTTAGTTTTACAAAATCCCAAAAAAGTAAGACCACATGCTTCTGTAGTTTCTGTTAGATTTAAAATCATTGCACTTTTAAACGGTTTGAAGCTTTGAAATTGGTAAATTTTTAATATTTTTTCTATTTACCTGCTTCATTCACAATGTTAAGAACTTAATAACAAATGATTTTTTTTCCCCAAATTCCTCAATAAGCAAAAATTTCAAGGAATGGAAACAAAAGACAGATAACCCAAGGCACTATATATTAAAGGTGACAACAACATTGACTTAAGTTATAATCATTTTGTGTTACAAACAGTACAAATTATATATTTAATATATTTCATAGTATATATGTATCTGTATTTGAAATGTCTGGAAAAATCTTAGAATATCTTAATGGAGTTACTAAATTTAAGGCAAGAATGCAACGAGTTGGAATATGTGAACTGTATACTTAAATAGAATTATTGTCTTAATCTTCAGTTTATTTTCATTTTAAAATAACCATATGAAAATTCCAAGGTTGGCTACTGTCATGATTTCCAGATTTTATCTTCTATTGCCCAATTAAAAAAAAAAAGCAAACCAACCTTAACATTACTTTTAAATCATTCTTCAAATATTTTCTTAAATTTAGCAACAGGAAAGAAATTAAATTCTCCTAATAAATGAAAGTTAATAAGCTCTTTACTATCAGAGAGAAAGAATACCTCCCAGGAGTATGAAATTAAGCAGTTCATAAGCATAGGACAGATAAGGTATCACTTTAAAGGGTAGATGGAAATTGATTTCTGATTAAAACAAAACATTTAAAACCACAAAGGTCTTTTTAAATCAGGAGCATCAGATTTCTAAAAGTAACATTTTCCTGTCCACTAAATAGGCATTTTTACTATGAGAAAGGAATGAAAAGGAAAGCAAAAATTGTTAAAAATGTGTATTATTTATATATAGATATATAAATTGGCATGTGGATGCTATATATATATAAAAATATATGCACATATATGTATATACCTATGTGTGTGTGCATATATATATATATATATATATGTGTGTGTGTGTGTGTGTGTAAAATATATGGATCCACCCTTCTCATTCCAAAAGAGCTGTTATCTGTCATCAATTAATAACGCTGGTATTTTACTCATTTTTCAGTATCTATGTATCTATCTCAGTATCAGATTTTGTTCCTAAGCTAACACTAAAGACTATAAATCCTTAGGAGAAGGGGTTCTCAAAATAAAAGTGAAGTCTGATTACAAAAAAAAAAGTTGTGTGACATTACAGCTTTTTCATTAATCACTTCTAGATGGGCTTCTAAATCTAGCACGGTGCAGGACTTCATAAAATTAGTGGAAATGTTATATATTGTCCAAAATACAAAAGAGGAAGACCGTAAGCTACCTAAACAATTAAAAAAGCCATTGGTCTTCATCTGTTTGTAAGGTTTCAAAACAAGTTTTTAGTGAGGGAAGAGATAACACAAGTTTCCAATGAAAATGGAGTGTGGTAGAGAAAAAAACGTAACTTGGTAAACAGACATTGGTTCACTCTAATATTGTACTTCAATAACCCAGCTGAAGTGCATTGAGGTGCTAGAGCTGCTCTTCCCCATGGCTCCACTTAAGTATTTACTAAATTGTCACCTGGAAACTGATTAGCTCAGCTGCAAAAAACAGGCACTAGTACAAGAAAAAAAAAAGGTCTAATAAGTAAAGAACTTGAGGTAGAAAACTACTCATGAAGTTCCTCAAGAAACAGTGTCAGAGCTCATCCTGTTTCATGTACCCTTCAGCAGCCGTGCTAAAAACCCAGAACTCTGCCACGACACATGCAGGTGACAGAAAGTTGGGAAGCACCACTAATACAAGTGGGGTTAAATTAGGCAGGAAGAATCAAAGGGCTCTGAAGACCAGAATTATAAACAGCCAGAGGAAATGGGTATAAACTGCTCATAAATAAATATATATCACAGATCATAGATTTTAACAAAAATTAAATCTGAAACATTGGAGTAACAAGGATGTGTCCCACAGCAACAACATTCCTAAAGAAGTTGCATGAAGTATCCCAAAGGGCCACTTAGAACAGCTGGGGTCACAAAAGGAATAACTGCTCCATGAGGTAGGTGGTGCTGATAGCAGGGAGTGAGACCAATTGACCAACCTGACTCCTGCCAGTTTCACGTCCCCGAGACAGCCACGCTCATGCCAGCAGCAAGCACTTGAGTGTCCCACGGAGGCTGTCGGCTTTCAGCAGCCCTGGGGCTTTCACCAGAGCCTCTCCCGTGCCTGATGCCAGGCACGTGCTGCTGCACCTCTCAGTCAGTGCAGCCCCTGGCACCAGACACCCCAAAGTGGTGGTGACCTTATTGCTCTCTACAGCTTCCTGAAGGGAGGCTGCAGACAGGTGGGGGTCGATCTCTTCCACTGGGCAGCAACTGGCAGAACAAGAGGACACAGTCTCAAGCTACGTCAGGGAAGGTTTAGGTTGGGTATTAGGAAAAAAACTGAAAGAATAATAAAATACTGGAATTGTCTTCCTAGGGAGGTGGTGGAATCACCATCTCTGGATATGTTTAAAAAAAGACTGGACTTGGCACTTGGGGCTATAGTCTGGTTGTGGTGTTAGGGCATAGGTTGGACTTGATCTTAGAGGTGTCTTCCAACCTCATTATTCTGTGATTCTGTGAAGCGCTCGGCTAGTGGTGCATGGAACACCAGCAGGGTGTGTCCCTAGCAGGAGTGAAGGACATCAGCTGATCAGCACCTCTCAAAACACTCACACACCAAATCTGGGGCCTGGTGAGAAAGCAATTGCTCCCTTCCTATTTTAAAGGAATAAAAAGTGAGAAAAGCATTTAGATGAAAACACAGATTTTTTAACAGCTGCTTGATGCAGAAGGAGAAGGCCAACTTTCTTTCCTTGTTTCATTCTGTGTACTAGATATTCATCATACTGATGCTTGAGGGAAGGTATGCAATAAAATTACAGCTTTCTGGGCATCAAAATGTCTTATTAAGCTTTGTGAAGCATGTACACCATAACTCAGAAGCTTAGGCTCATTGGTATGGGTAAATTCCCCATATGACAGCCCCAACTGCAGTTTCCAAAGAACAAAGCCAGATTGAGTTGTAAACCCTTTGTCACATTGGCATATGCAATATACTCCCCCTGAGAAAATCTTCTCCATGAAAAACTATCCCACTGTGTGAAAAAAAAAAACCAAAACCACAAAAATTCATGACTTAGCTCAATGGGACCATAAAATGAATACAGTAAAGAGGCACCATGAGCCAAACAGACTGAAGTAAACCAGGATACAGTCTAATCCTAGTTTTGTTATTGCTTTGCTATATGTGACAGTCAGGTCTCAATTTTCCCACCAGTAGAATGACAATAATGTGACTTTTTAAAAATTTATTTTCTTGATTTTCTGAAGAAGTTTGTAATTCATAGCTCAAAAAACAAAGGCAAAGAAAAACAGAAGATCAAGGAGCACTGAGAAAACATACAGCAGCGATCCAATAAGAATGTCCCCCTGCTGCATAAGACAGTATCACAAATGTCATGCCCCAATGAAACAAGAGTGGGTGTTCATGGATTGCATCCTGAGAACTAGGACATTTGTCACTGCTGTACACTGACCCCAGGCCACTTCACTGAAAGTTACTGCAAGCACTAAAAATTTACTGAATTTCCCAGAAAACGCTGGAAAGAATTTAATGCATTCTGTGTATTATTTAGTGGAAAATAAAGAGTGTTAAAATTATCACAGAATCACAGAATATTTGTAGTTGGAAGGGACCTACAGGAATCATTGAATTCAACTCTTAAATGAATGGCCTGTACAGGGACTGACTCTGTGACCTTGACATTATTAGCACCATGCTCTAAGCAACTGCACTAATTAATGAGAAAATAACCTAATTTTAGCATACCATATTCGTATACCAGTTGTTCTCTAAATATCTCACATCTGCTGCATTACCTATAGTACTATTTCCCATACCTGCAACACACATCCATGAAATAAATTAACCAGAATTTCCATCTCCAATTATTTCAGAGTAACAGAAAATCGGATCTCTGATACATATAATCTGATGTAACAGGATGGGGGAAAGAGAGAATATGAAACTTGTTTCGAAGTGATTTACAACACAGCAAGAATGCCAGTGTCAGTGCACGGCATTCTTTATTTTCATGGAGCTGTCAAACTGAGTAAAATGCACTGGAAGTCAGAGGAAAATAAAAGTTGTGTATTTGGAAGACACATTCACAAGATTTTGGTAGCTTAAATTTGGCAGGTGGCTGTTAGAATGAAACCTGATATTAGAACCAAATGGGCTTTAATATTGCATGTCTGCGACAAAGCAACATCTCCACATGCCCCAGTTCTCCTCTTAAACTGTGATCTCCAACACAACTTCAGTAGCAGCCAATACTTCCAGCCTCAGGGGTTTTCTGAAAAGTGCATTTTCATGTATATGTTATAAGCACATGTGAAAGCTTAAAGAAAATAGACTAGATGCTGATTTGATTCACACTGGGTTAATTCTTCAAAGGCTTCAGTGCTTCTATACTTCATTTTCCACAGTGTGACCACAGCAGACTTCTGACTATTGTCTGTTTCTCCTAAAAGGAAACTATACACCAGGATTTTTAGGGTAAATGGCATTGCTCCTGACATGTTTAGCACTTCAGACTAAAAAAAATCCTACCTTTGAAAAAGCCAAAGACCAATATAAGGAAATGTTTTCAGAGATCAGGATACTGGCCATTCTTTATAGCTGCACACATGGGTAAAATACAAAAATGACAGCGGATGTTTATGGGAACATAATTTATGGCAACAATGCAAAAGGAAATAACAGAGACACACTCTTCCACCTAGGACTGTTGTCATTCTGGATTCATACTGCTTTCTTCAAGTCTTGCTCTATCTATTCTTTTGTGTCTGTAAACACTTTTCAAAAGCTTTCACTTTGTCTACACAGGTGCCTGAATTTAAGTCTGTCAAACAACTTTATAGAGTAAACAGCTCCCCTCCAAGGGCTAGCAAGCACAAAGATATCATCACCTGTACCTCTGGAAGTCCCTAACCTGAAGTTTCACTAGGTTTATCCTAGGTTATCCTAATGCCCCACTTTCATAAATTTAAATATCTCCAGTGGTTTCCACAGGACTCTTTGGCCTTCAACTATGTTTCCCGGAAAACTTTTTCTTCTGACAGGTCAAGAAAGCTTCACTCTCAGACTGCAGTTTTGCTGACAGGCAGGAAGCTAACCTCCTCTGAGCTATAGAATAAGCAGCACATATTTTTTTAAGAAGAATCAACTTGGTATTACTGTGTTTCAAGGCTGCAATAAACACCTCAGACTCTGTATGTGTTCCTGAGGCTCAGGCCTGATGGCAAGAACCAAAGTCTCCTTTCAGTACTGGCTAAATTCCCACTGGGTTCATTCCTAAATGAGACCACGCTTATAAAGACTGACAGAAAGTTTCTCAGAGCAATGAATGTAAAATTCTGCTCCTGCATCTCAAGGGTGCTGTTTTACATAAATATGGATATGTATTTGTATACATGTTCCCCTTCCTGCAGAGATGGGTGGGTCACACTGTAAATAGTGCTGAAATACAAGCCCACTTGAACTGCTGGCAAGCAGTGGAGTTATAGAAAAAATTCACGCAGCTATTTCATGAGCATTTACCCAGCAGATAAATATATATTTATGCATATGTATATTTTTCCCTGTGAAATACAGTTAATAGTCAATACAAGAGGGCATTCAAGGATGTCACAAGCTGGCTGTACATGCCAGAAAAACAGTAGCAACTACAAACCAAGGATGCTCCAAGTGATGATAATTTGTGACCCAGAGCCAGTGCACACTGGGACAGATGAAAACAACTTGTTCCAAAGCTGCTATTGGGGATCTGACATGTTTATTTATTCGGCCCACATGGGGCTGTGTCTTCTAGCA